AAATCTGTGACAGGCCCATAGCCAGGGGAGGTCCAGGTGGCTCGAAAGACCCACCCCCACTGACAAAGATGCAGAATATGTCCAATACCTGAGTCACTTTGGTGTGACTTCAGCTAATCAGTTTTGTCAAGTTAAAACTATTATTCCTATTAGTCCAACATTCAGCTGTCCAACAAAACATACAACATACATGTTTTTTTTATTATTCAAATGACCAAATTCTGATTGAGGAAAGTGACTGAGGTGCTGGCCAGTTTGTTATTTGCCTAATAAACTATAATAGGCTACAGTTTTGTGCCTAATTTATTTAAAAGCATGCCTATTTTCTCTTTTTTTAATGAAACGTTATATAATAATATTTTATTTTAAAAATATGCATTTGTTTATATTTCTTTATTTTAAATCTTAAGGAAATAATTTTACATTAAAAAGTGTGGTTAAGATGACCATTTGACAAGCTAAAAAACTGCTTAAAATGTGACTATAAATGCAGTATTCAAACCTCAAAATTAAATATAAAATGAGTCGAATAACTGCTCAGAGATGCAATTTTTGACAAAAGAGAACCTTCACTTTCACCTGGCTAGCTATGGGCCTGTGTGATATGTAAAATCTTTGATAATAAAAAATAAAATAATAAAAGATTAGCAGTGCTTGGAGCTTAAATCAGTTATTTTTATAAAATATAAACTTGTGACTTGTTTATTATAAACAAATGCAATCAGGGACACAAAGTAGTGAAGTAGGCCACACTGTTAGCAATTAAAATGCACATTTTGACAAAAATAAAAAGGCTAAAATAAAATTATAGTTAATATCAGTAGCCTACTTATGTTTGTCGACATTTTACTCTGTAATCTAATTTGTATTACTGCATTGCCCATGTTATATACGCATGTAATTGTATGACAATAGGTAACTAAGACCCTGTATTGCCATCTTTTGCGTTCCTTGTATCGACCACCTAATAACTCACATTTAGATTAGTTCACAGTTCAGATTAGTTCACGTGAATAAAGCTGAATATACGGCATTACGTGAGAATTAAACCCATCCGGAATGAGGCTCGCGGGAGCGCGCTTAAAATCAGCCCCTGTTGAGAGCGTGTGTGTGATCTGCCTCTCCCTTCCGCGTCCTCGTGCACGCAGCAGCAGCTCAAGTGCCAGTTTCCGTTTTATTTCCTGATTATTGCTAGTCCTCGGAACGGACAGGC